GGAGCACGTGACGCCTAATATTTGTTTAAGAAAGCATGGTTGCGAGTATGAAATCACAGTGATCGGATTTGCGTTCGATAGTAACGTTACGCGTATATTGTTCGATTAATAAATAATATATTTATGCGATATATTTCGATGTTATTTCGTGCACACACCTTTGCGTAGGAGAGAACGATATGGTGAAAACAAAAGAGAATTTATTCACAGAACAAGGTAACAATCGTGGTGGAAATCATTCGAGACCGATTAACCGAGCTCCAACGTGATTCAGCGCCTCTGTGATTCCTCTCGAGGTCTTCTTCGCAGCGTTGCGTGGGAACTGAAAGTAATTATCGATTCTGTTATCGCACAAAAGAAACCGACGTCCGTTCGAATCGTAATACTTCCTGGATAGAGATCGCTTACGTCGATGATTGCGTTCAAGAAATTGCTGAATCCTTCGAAACTGCTGACCAGAGCTCTGCCGATCCCGATAAACTTATCCCCCGAGTTTCCATACTTCTCTTGCTCCTTGATACCGTCCACCAACGGAGTTGGGCTCAGGAACGATTCTAGAACACCTGTGATTGGCTTGGAGAATGGTTTCTCCAGTAAACTTTGACCTGTTTCGTTCTCCAGTCGAACCGTTTCACGCGCCGTCGCGTGAGTGTTCGTCACTGGTGGATACTGGGTGGTCGTTTCCACCTGGATTTCACCCTCGTTGAAGGCTACCGATTTTCCTATCGTCACTATGGTTGGATTGTTCCTCGATTCACTGGCCAATGACTAAAAACGAGAGTAATTTAGTAAATTCAGCGCGGCGAAGTGTTCGAATCTAGTTGGGTAGTTCCAAGGGGTGCAGAAAGAGAAATTAGGCTCTTCTGCGAGGGTCTTCGTCAACGTGTTGGATATGTTGTAAAGGAGTGGGAGGAAGAGTCTTTCTAGCGGATAGGGGTGTGTTATATACAGGGTGAACAATTACCTTAATTATTTCCGCTGTTACCGGACCAATAAAAATTACTTTTTTTTGTTAATACGTTGGTTTAGAGAGGCTTGGAGACTGATTGTAAGAGAGTTATCGAGAAGAAGAAGAGAGTTAAGGTCGCCTTCAGTTTTTTAAATGGAACTCTAGTTTCTTTTCGCATATTTTTCAGCGGACAGAGAGGCAAATATGACGAGCACTGTGACATACCCTTTTTGTCATAATAGGAGAAATGTAATAGGTGGGAAAATGTATTTTAGGAATTAGATTAAATTGGTCTGACCTTTCTGCGAAATCATTAAAGGAGATCGTGTTACGTTGTCCATCCTGTATATAATAGATTGTTAGAGCTGTCATAGCGTGGTGAGCTGTATTAATCCCCAAATTTTGTCAACTTTCGTTGCTGCAAAGCATCGTTATCATAGACTGCCTGAGAAAACCATTAACGATGAAGATTCTAGAGTAACAATACTCACTATTATCGTTCCACATGTTTCTCCACACTGTTACAATTTTCTCAATCGTTGAGTTTAAGCGTATGAGTGTTAGGTGAATGTTCGAGTAGCATTTAGTTAAGCTGTCGTATCTCGAGCTAATTTCACACGTTCTGCGCAAGATCCGACCTCGAGAACTAGTACAGGCTGGTTCGTTAATTCATTATTGCCACATGTGATTGGAAAAAAAGAGACAGCCTTGTGCTGGATCGTAACGAAGCACCATCGGGAGATGAATTAGACTTTTTCATTTTAATTTTTCTTTTAATTACTTTTTCTTAGAAATCGCTTATTGGAAATGAGGGCACATGCAAATGAAGTCTGTGTGCCAATTACCTCCGCCCGGTCGGCTATGATGTTTCTGGTCAACGTGACGGAATTCACGAGCCTCCCTGTGCCGATTCTTAGCGCGTCCGCGATACCGCCTAACAATTCCTATAAAAATCGAAACACAATTTTGACCTGCCCACCATTCTGGACTAGATTTCCTTTTTACCACTTGCCCACCATTCTGGACTAAATTTTCTTTCTTTTACCTGCCCAGCATTCTGCACCAGATTATTTTTTATTCGTCCACCATACTGGTCTAGAGCTATTGTTTCACCTGCCCACCATTTTGGATACAAATTTTTCTTGTAATCTGCCCACCATTCTGAATCAGATTCATTTTTTCACTTGACCTGCCCATTACTGTGGATAAAATTTTTTTCTTTTTACCTGCCCACTATACAGGACTAAATTTTGTTTACCTGCCCACCATTCTGGATCAGATTTGTTTTTAACTGCCCACTATTCTCGAGTTCATTCTTCCTTTACCTGTGCACCATTCTGGATTAGATTTTTCTTTTACCTGCCTACTATTCTGGATCAGATTGGTTTTTACCTGTCCACCATTCTGAGCTTGATTCCTTTCTCTACCTGCCGATCATTCTGGATCAAACTTTCTTTTTAGCTGTCCGCTATTCTGAATCAGATTTTTCTTACATTTATCTACCATTTCGGGCCAAATTTTTTTCACCTGCACACAATTTTACACCAAACTTTTCCCCAAATTTCTCAGTGCAACCAGCTTTAACCCTCTCTATTACAACTACCATTGCTACGAACGCCTTCACAACGATTTCACAAGCGTTCAGAAAACAACCCGTGACTCCTTAAGCTTCACATTTCATTCTACAGAAAACTCTTAGAAAAAGGCACACTCACTCGACCTTGCGCGAATCTGGACTCCGCCCCGACAGCCATGTTCTCCAAATTTCTGTCACCGGTGCTTAACGTGAACCTCGTTGGTTGTTCCGTCGGTAGACCAATGGACAAATCGAACCGACATACCAGTAATAAAGCACACAGTCTGAACGTTCTTCTTCTTCCAAGAATCCTCCACATTGTCGTTCTGCAAAAGAAACTCGTCTGAATAATTGAGTAATTTCACTTTCTTCAATGAAAGTCCCCAAGTTTTTCCCGGAAGCGTACTCACGACACGTACTTTCCAACACTTCTTGCCGCAAGATCACTCTACCATAGACACCGGACGAAAATAATCAGAGTGGAAATGAAAAGGTACAAAAGCCAGGTGTTTCAGGTATCGCAGCCACACGACGACTAACAGATTTCCTCGTGGTCCGCTATAAAGTTGGCTTACGCTCTTACGACACGTCGTTACTTTCTCTTTCGATTTGCTTAACGATGTTTGCAACGACGAACGTGCTTCGCCTGGAACGATACGTGCTTCTACAGAAGCTCGTCGACGAATCGATAGATCAGATCGGGAAATTAGATACCGTACGAAGAGTCACTTAAAATTAAACCGATAGGTAGGAAGAAAATGAACGTTCGTTATTTTAGTTTAGCTTTATTTTTCTCAAATACTTGTGCTGTGGTAATTCGTATAATTTCGTGCAAATATTCATCGATGGTTTAAGCTCTAGCACCGGTAGAATTGGTCAAATTTATTATCGGAGTCAGTATATCTACTATCAATTTCAGAAGAGAGCCTACGATCTTGAGGACGTCACTGACGATCTGAAACACGTGCAAAACAGGTATGTCGTAATATCGGATGGTAATATTGTAATATCAGGAAAATTTGTTTAAGGAGAATTTTTGTGTGTGTTCTTTGCTTCTTTTTTTTTGTTGTGAGGAGGGACTTACGCTCAGAACGGAACCTAGCAAATTTGCAAGGTCACCAACTATTGGTAATTGTACGAGGAGTTGTTGGAGATTTGCGGACGAAAGGTTCGTTAATAGCGATTGGATTCCGGGGAGAAGCTCGGAGAGAAGGTCGGATAAAGTACTGACACCCTTTATGCCAAGAATTTGCGCGAG